GAGTGAGGCCAGGATGCCCCTTACCTGCACAACCGGGATGTAGTGTCTGTCCTGGCCCACAGCAGGAGGAGACCCCAAGAACTGCCCACAGAGACCAGCATCCGGGAAGGACATCACACCGGGAGCTGCTGGGAACGAGCGGGGAAGGACATCACACCGGGAGCTGCTGGGAACAAGTGGGGTACCTGTGCGCATACAGACCATTGTACACGCTCCCCTAAGAGCTCAGATGAAGCTCAGTGTGGAGAGAAGCACCCAGGCAACACATTAAGGGAGAAAAAATTTCCATTTTGAGTGGAGACTTGTCTATTTTCTCTTGCTTCGTGAGTAGAGACAGGGGAAGGGTTCAAGCAGTTCCTGTCTTCTCTATAGCTTTATGTGAGCTGAGGTCAAGTCTCCTGACGTGACAGGAAGCGTTTCCTTCAGAAAAGGTACCTGGCAGCAGGGACTGAATCAGAGAGCTGGCTGAAGTAACAGGTCCACAAGAAAAAAACAAAACAAAAAGCCAAACACCCACACCTAGGAAGACTGATGCCTTTCAGCAGATGTAATTTAACATGGAAGAGGCAGTAAGAACCATCTCAACACCAACCCCTCACTCCACGTTACGTGAGCATATGCACACCCCAGGAGAAGGCATCTTGCCTCAACAAGCCACCCAGCCCACCACCCACAGCACAGAGGGTACCAGCAGCCCCGAGAAGGATCACGCCCCAAATGACTGCCCCCATACCTACAGTGTGGCGGTCTGCTCAGAGAATTGCTTTTCAAAACTGTCAAAAAAATAATTAAAGGCCTTACTACCATTTCACTGACACTTTGCCTCGTAACTGCTTTTATTTCTGCCTACAGTGGCGATATCAGTTCTCCTAACTCAAACCTCAGTTGCCTTTCAGTGCAATCACATCATTATAATCAGCTGTTTTCAGTCTTAGCCCTCCATGTTTGGAAAAATCTCCCCCCCAGTGCAATTTGCCAGATTGTCAAATCATCTTTACAGATGTTTACAACATTTCTCCCAATTACTCCAAAAGCATTCTCCCTACATCTTGCCTCCTTTCCAAAAGCCCCAAGGAAAACTCTAATCTCGCAGCTTTTAATACAAAACAAGAGCACTTTCAGGGCAGGTTAGACACACCTGCCCTACTTTCCGCCTCTGCTTTAAACCCATTTTTCCAGCAGGCCGAAGTACTGAAGTTTTGTACCAGCACAGTAAGGCAACACTTTATAAAATTTTAACCTTGTAAGCCAACTATAGTAACAGCACCCAAAAATGCCAGGGTACTCATGTTTGTCTCAGAACCTCCTTTAATCAGCTACAGCCTTTGGAACAAGTTTTAGCATAACCAGAACTGAGGAGAAAGAAACACTTCATACTTAAAGCTACACGAGTTAGCTGCAATGTTCATCCATTTTGAGAATACTGGCAGAATTATTTTAATGACTTGGGACGCTGAGAAGAAACGCCTGGCAGAGTACAGCTCCTTTCACCCCGTGTGGTGTTCACTCAGTTATCCTGCATCGCAGCCATCTCCTGTCATCAAACCCAGGAGGCACCAACACCACTGCTGTTGAGTTTGCAAGCAGTTGACCCGAGGTACCAGCTCACCGATGCCAAAAGGGCAGGTCTTTTCATCAACTCAGTTTTCTGTCACCTGTTTCCTGACTGACTGTACAGCCTTGACAAGCTTCAGAGCTAGGCACGGTGTGAACAGACAGCATACAGTCAGGAAGAGGAATCTGCACACATCTTCTCAAGCCACAGCCCAAGTAGACTCTGTAAGTGATCTTAGAAACCTCTTCAAATGGCATCCTCACTGCTTACACCAAGTCTGCACACTCAGTAATTATTTCTCCTCCTTCCTAATTCCTGTGGTGGAACTCACTACTTGTTGAAAAAATACTTTCTGGTAAAAACAGACAGTTAGTATCTTGCCAGATACTAAGAGCAGTTCCAAAATTCAAAGCTGGGGGTGAGGAATACCACTGCACCCACACACAATGCAAGAATTATCCCAAGTGCCTTAAAGCACTCCTGCGTAGCATTAAAGGCACATTTACCGTTCTCTCTACACAGCAGAATGAAGCAAAGCAGCAAAACAAGCCCATTTCCACCTTTTACAACTGCTTTTTACGTTACCATTACATCATCAGTGATAAAGCAACAGAAGTTTGCTTCAAGTTTCAATAGCAGAGGCGTACACTGCTACTCTAAAACCTAATTCTGGAAGCCATTAAAGGTCTATCCTACCTGGGCCCTGGAGGTCGCCTTGTATCTCTAGCTACTGACACAGGCAGCACCTAACAAACAAACAGAATGCAGCAGCTGCAGCCTTCTTCCAGGAGATCCAGAGGTAGCAGCATGTAACTGTCTGGCAGATACAGCACTCACTTCAAGAAGTCAAGACTACTCTCCCCCCACCCTCAGACTGAAGTAACAGCAACTACAGCACATACTATTAAAAGAAAAAAAATATCTACCTCAGGCCTGTACTAGCTCTCCTCCTCCTCATCTGACAATCTCTCTTTAGTCTTCTTTTGTTTGCTTTTCTTTTTCAGATTCCTAACTTCCTACTGAGCCAAATCCTCCGATGACTTCATACACAGCTATTGTCATGGAAAAAAAACTGCGTTGCTCAAAGTTACTCCAATCCCTCCACAAGACTGGGGGTCCCATTTAACCAGACCTCCTTCCACCTGCTTGATTCCCCTGTCTCCAGGCAGCAGAGAACACAGCATGCGGACTGGTGGAGTTTCTTGCACCAAAACCCAATTCTGCATTATACAAGCTGTGAGATGCAGCTCCCACCAGCTTTGACTAGCACGTGGAATGAAAGGACACAAGAAAAGTGGAGCTTTCATTTATTGGGCTGAAACTACAAATAGATTCACTTTGACTTCTGGCTCTGTGCTTGTGCCTTCAACACCTTCACAACAATCTTCTGCTCCTCAATAAGAAAAGCTCGTTTGATTCTGGAAAGGAAAATCAACAACTTTAGGACATGTACCCACTTAAGTGAAAACACAAAAATAAGATAAAGTTACAGTTAGTTTTGCTGTCTCCAACATTCACTGCACATGTGGTGGTAGTTCCACAATTACATAAAAAGAGAAACCATCAATGTTCTCATCAGCATCAAAAGACGGGGGCACTGGCACTGTATGAACATAGAGGTTTGGGGAAGAAGACCTAGTGTGCCCACAAATTTGGGGTGAGTGGCTTGTAGGCAAGCAAGGCAATACCTGATGGCTGAATACTGGAAAAATTACCACTTTCACTAACTTCAAAGGCAAAAAGCAAAGCTCCTTACTGGCAAACTAATTTAACTGTTCTTAAAGTCAGAACTGATGTGGCCAGTTCTCTTCCTTTAGAACTACAGAAAACTTTATGTATAGAGTTCAGTTACCAAAACAAGAACAGCTGCTCTCTTGGGATTAAAGCTTCTTTGCACATAAACAGAGATAACCCAATCTGGTCAAGTCACACCTGAACATGATTATTTCTGGAAGACACGCAGCCCCACCACGCAGATGGACCTATGTGATAGTACTCGCATATCAACAGCCTATTTGACGATTTCAAGTTCAGAGCACAAATATACTACCCACTCTTCTACCCTGAAAGATTAAAACACCATTCCATATGCATTTGGTATATACAGCCACTGTTGAAGTACACAAAACCTACCAAAGATGCCTAAATAGATGCAGGAGAAAACCTGCTAATTACATGGATGGCAGTGACTGTGGTTTTTGTTTTAGGCAGAATAAGGTATACTCATGTATTAAAAACAACCTATCAAGCTCATAAAGTGTTTGGGAAAATGCTCAGAAAAAACCTGGTGTTTAACACAGAAAAGTTATGCTACAAATCTGCAGCTCTAACAACCTGTCTTCAGTGGCACCTACTGTGATTTAACGTAGAACTCACACAAGAAAAAAAACAACCAACTAAAGCAAAATGCACTTGGCTAAATTCGCACTGTCAATGAAAAGCTGACACCACATTGCTAACTCCAGAGATCTGCTTTGACTACCATTCAGAGAGATGACATTCTTTACAATATACATTTTTTCCTCAAACTTGCCAAGGAAGTATAGGATGTACAGTTGTTACCCAATGAAACTGAACTCACTGAGGCCCATCAAAGGCCATCTTAAAGCTTAACCACAATAAAGATGCTTAATATGCAACAAATTAATAGCTTTTAATCCCAAAAGGCCACAAAGAAGCTAAAAGCTCAACTGATCTTACACAAATATCTTTACATCAGACAAAAAAATAGGACAGCAGAAAAATCTTTACTATAGGGGCTCAGTATAAAATTCAAAAATCCAGAATGAGCAGACTGTTTAGCACCAAAGCAACAGTGCAGTAAGAAATCATGACATTCTCTACCAAGGAGCTCCATGTACAGTAACTAGCTCAAATCCAAGGGACAAAATCACAAACATCACTGCTGATGTGCCCCATGCTTATTCCCTCCATTCTACTGCACTAATGTCAGACTAGAGTCTGATTCAAAGTTCTGTTCCACATGATGAAAGCACAGCAAGACGTAAAAATCTCACACAAAGTAACTTTCTGTAAGCCTACCTGTCGCGGACACACTTGGCACACATGGAACCACCATAGGCTCTGCTAACATGCTTCTTTGTTTTTGACAGCCTCATAAGGACTTTAGGGCGCACAGCACGAACCTACAGAAAGCAAAAACGAGAAGTGTATCGTAAGACAGTCATTGCGGGGAACAGCCAGATCAAGAAAATTCACACTGACAGTTTAAAAAAGCAGCAACACCTGAAGTTGACTATTCAAGATGCAAAAAAGTGACTGAAGTCACAGTATGTGACATCTTCAGCATTCCTAAGCCGATGCTACCACAGGGTAGAACAGAATCTATTCTACCAATAGATTCATTAAAAAAGTTGTTTATAAATAGACTGTTTTCCCAAGAGCAGGAACTGCTCAAAGACTGGCATTACTCAGGCATTCCCATCACTGTTAAGACCGATGGCATTTACACTAAGAAAACACTTTGGAGAAAAACAGCATGTAAAAAACATTCACTCCTTTTTTCTAAAACTGAAAGTAAAACTTTAAAAAAACATATGTTATTAAGGCTAATACTTACACCACGAAGTCTTCCTGGGCATATACCACATGCCGACTTTGGTGCCTTCCCCACTTTCTTGGTGTAAAGGTAAACAATCCTGTTCCCGGGTGTTCGGGACCTAAGTACGGCAGAAAAATACTCAGTTAATGTAACAACCAAAATTTAAACTCAGCTTTCTTAAAAAATCCGTTTTCTTAGAAACTATGCCTTACTTACAGTCTGGTCTTGTTGGAAGCTGTATTGTAGGACAACCTACGGCGGTAGGTCAGGCGTTGAACCATTTTTTACACCTAAATTAGTCAAAAACAAAGCAGCACTAGTTGAAGGGCTTAAGGTCCTCATGGAAGTTCACACATCACAGGATCACCTGCACTGAAGCACTGAGCCAAGTCTGAATCAGCAGCTGCTGATTCTGTATTAGTATTAACAGAATTAAAGCATTTCATAGAATCCTAGAATGGTCTGGGTTGGAAGGGACCTTAAAGATCATCCAGTTCCAACCCCCCTGCCATCAGCAGGGACATCTTCCACTAGACCAGGTTACTCAAAGCCTCATCCAGCCTGGCCTTAAACACTTCCAGGGAGGGGGCAGCCACAACTTCCTTGGGCAACCTGTTCCAGTGTCTGACCACCCTCACAGTGAAGAACTTCTTCCTAATATCTAATCTAAACCTCCCCTCTTTCAGTTTAAACCCATTTCCCCTTGTTCTGTCATTAACTGCCCTTATGAAAAGTCCCTCCCCAGCTTTCTTGTAGGCCCCTTCAGGTACTGGAAGGCCGCTATAAGATCTCCCTGGAGCCTTCTCTTCTCCAGGCTGAACAGCCCCAACTCTCTCAGCCTGTCTTCACAGGAGAGGTGCTCCAGCCCTCGGATCATCCTGGTGGCCCTTCTCTGGACTTGTTCGAACTGGTCCATGTGACCATTTCCTCATCAACGACAGCAAAGACAATCACATTAATACACAACAAAACATACAGTAGGGTGTAGAATGGGATTTGCAGTGACAATTCACCCAAACTAACTTGTGCGCAGTTCAACATCCAGGTCTTGCCTGCACGGTACCGTGTCACAGAGAACTGCTGAAAGCTTTAAGCAGCTGCGCATGTTCTAACCAACGTAAGCTTCCCTGCCAAGGCTGAAAGCCGAGCTGAAGCGAACGCTACCTACTGCTCCCTCGCCTGACCGCACACCCCATCAGTCACACCCCAGGCCCGCGCCGGAGCCTTCTGCGGGCCCAGCACAGCGCGACGAGGGC